AAGGTTTATTTACTTGAAAGCAGAGTGATGGAGAGAGTTGGAGAGACGGGAGGGAGCGATCACTTCCGAAATGTCCAAGCGGCCAGGGCTGGACCAGGCCGAAGCCAGGACCTCCATCCGGGTCTCCCGCATGGGTGCAGGGCCCCGAGCACCTGGGCCATCTTTTACTGCCATCCCAGGTGCATAGCAGGGAGCTGGAGCGGAAGCAGAGCAGCCAGGATTTGGACTGGTGTCTGATAAGGGATGCCAGTGTTGCAGGCAGCGGCTTAACCCGCTGCATCACGGTGCCGCGCCCACCCCTGGATCTCACTCACTCACTCACAGGCAGAGTGACAGAGGACGAGATCCCCCAGCTCTCAGATGGGCGGACAAGCACAGCGGTGGTCGCAGAAGCCTGACGTGCAAGGAGGGGGCCTCAGGGACGCCTGGCGCCCCCTCAGGCTGTGACGCCGCTGGGAGCACCCGGCTGCTGCCTCTCCCCGCATCTTGGTTACTGCAGCGAATGTGCCTGGGTGCACCGGCGCCGTGACCGTCGCCCACGGCTGGGTAACAAGCTCCGACCGTGTTCACCATCAGCCTGGAAGCTGGTGGCACTGGTGGGCTGAGTGCCAGCCTGGCCTTGCCCGGGTGCCTGCGTGGGTGCTGGCTGCGGGCCGTGCATCCAGTCCTCCGTAGGCGCCTCTGCAGTGTCGCCGCCCAGGGGAGCTGTGAGCGTCGTGGAGCGCGGAGCGGGCAGTGTTGGAGCCCGGCCGTCTTAGCTGTGCGTCTGTTCCTCACACGCAGACCCTGATGAGGTGCGTGCAGCTGGAGGCTGGCAGGTTCAAGATCAAGGTTGTCTCGTGGTGCCATGACACGGCGAGACCGTCTGCAGGTGAGGGGGCCTGCAGGAGGGTGAGCGCCAGGGCCCGGCCACAGCAGGACACCATTGCTGAGGACAGCGGCCCCCTCGGCGTGCACTTAGGGTTAAGTTTCTTTTTTTTTCTTTTTTTCTTTTTTTTTTTGGACAGGCAGAGTGGACAGTGAGAGAGAGAGAGAGAAAGGTCTTCCTTTTGCCGTTGGTTCACCCTCCAGTGGCCACCGCGGCCGGCGCACCGGACAGATCCGATGGCAGGAGCCAGGTGCTTCTCCTGGTCTCCCATGGGTGCAGGGCCCAAGCACCTGGGCCATCCTCCACTGCACTCCCTGGCCACAGCAGAGAGCTGGCCTGGAAGAGGGGCAACCTGGATAGAATCCGGCGCCCCAACCGGGACTAGAACCCGGTGTGCCGGCGCCGCAAGGCGGAGGATTAGCCTATTGAGCCGCAGCACCGGCAGGGTTAAGTTTCTAACAGGTGACCTGGGGGACACAGACCACAGCATCTGCTTCTGCCACGTTGTGTGGGCCGCAGGCCAGCCCAGGTGCGGGGGTGGAGATGGCCGTGGCACAGAGGCAGAGTCGTGTTGCCGAAGGGCAAGGGACGCCATCTTTGGAAACAGAAGCACCTGCTGTGTGCCAGGCACTGTTCTAGGCTACGGGAACGGACAGATGATGAGCCCCAGACCTGTGTCCTCCAGCACCTTCCTTCTCGTGGAGGAAGACGACACGAGACAGAAAGACTTAGCGTGTTAGGTGGTAAATGCTAGAGAGAAAAACACATCGGGGCCGCGAGCTGGGAACAGGGAGAAGGCCTTGCCACGGAAGGATGGAGCAGACGGCAGGAAGTGCAGGCGTCCTGTGTCAGGAAAGGGAGCAGCAGGCGCAGAGGCCCTGGGACGAGGCTGCGCCTGCTCGGTGGAGGGCACGGTGCAGCCCTGAGGGCAGGGAGGAGGCGCAGGGTTCAGGTTGTGCAGGGCTGGGGGCGTCAGGTGCTCACCGAGGTGGGAGCCCCGGGCAGTGGACGTCTTTGAGCTATAATTTACATAGCACGAAATTCACCATTTGCGCACAGTTGATACAGTTGATCGTGTCTTAGTAATATTCACTGTGTCGTGCCAACATTACGGTGATCTAATTCCAGAATATTCCTGCCACCCCAATAACACCGCGCAGCCCTTACCAGTTACTCCCCTTCACTCCCCCAGTTCCACGGGGAGGAAGCCACGGATCTCCTGGCGCCTCTGCTGCAGGTCTCCGGGAAGTGGACCCTGAGTCGTGGCCTCCCGTGGCTCCTCTCCCTCAGTGTGGGTTCGCAGGGACTGCCATGCGGCAGCGGGTGCCGGGCCTTGCTCCTAAGCAGTGCTCCGCCGCGTGGCCGTGCCGCGGTCTCTCCGTCACTCGGGGAGCGCTGGGCTGTTCCCTCTTCCTGGCTGATAGCAGCCATGGGCGAGGTCGAGTGTCGTCCCTTCTCTGGGCTGTGCAGCTTGGTCACTCGGCACCTCCGTGTTTCTCGGAGGATCTGCCGTTCCGTGTCCCCGCCGGCCGCGTGAGGGTCATGTTCTGCCAGTGCTCGCGGATGTCCGTTTGCTGACGGTCGCCGTCTGGGTTGGGGCAGAGTCGCGCTGTGCGATTCTGAGCCCGGGAGCTCTGCTTTGCACCCGAGCCTCGGAGGGGCAGACTGCCCGCGAGCTGGAGTGGGCTACTGCAGCAGTCCCAGCTGGGCAGGGTCGGGGGAGGGAGATGGCGAGAGGGGTCGGGCTTGGGGGCCCTTTGGAAGGCGGGGCCCAGGGTTGGACCGGGGTGGGGAGTGAGGAAGGTGAGCCGAGCGCTGTGGCGCCTGTGGCCTTTTGTGGACGTGGTGGAGGCCGCGGGCACAGGAGCTGAGTGTGTCTTCTGCACCTGTCACTGGGTGGGCGGGACCAGCCCCTCGAGGTGCTCACCTCTCTGGGAGAAGAGGGTGCGGAAGGAGGCGGCACAGGCGTGGGTCACGCACGTTGCAAGGTGCCCACCCGCCCTGTCTGCCCCCAGCGAGGCCTCGGCCCCCTCCCCGGGAGCGAGCGGAGCGCTGCAAGCCCAGGGAGCAGCCAAGAGCAGCAGGAACGTTCCTTTGCTGTCAGGCTGGTAGAAGGGGGCACGCGGGCCGCAGCCTGGGGCCACCACTGTCGCTGTCGGGGCCACCAAGGGGACGGGCTTGAGTGAAGATTGTCCCACGAGTGACTTGGGGGGGGGAGCTGGCTGAGCCTGAGCGGCTTCCTGCTGGTTGGGAATCTTCGGGACTTGTGCCTGCCTTAGCTGACTCGCTCCTCCCTGCTCTCAGACATGGCCCGAGGTAGCAGCAGAAGGGGGGGGGGCATGACTGACGGCACCGGTCACGGGGCTCCTTCCTCTCCCTTAGCTCTGGAGCTACAGAGCAGGGTCCAGTTCTGGCTTCCGAACCTGTGAGCTGTGTGACCTTGAACAAGTGAGGAAACCTCTCTGATCCTCGGTTGCCCATCTATACAGAGGGGGGACGAATAGCATCCCTGGGGAGGGATCTTGTCGGGAGCCAAGTGAGCTAAGCCATCGCCGGCGACACACCCAGCCCGGCGTCTGGAGCAGCCCTCGGCGGAACGAGTTGCTCACGCTTGCCGTGTCCGGTTGACTTCCTCACAGCCCTGCCGGGTGGTGTGACGGGGCCCGGCACGGGGGAGCCACCCACAATGCACACGTTCAGCCGCTGGGTTCAGGCCTCCGGGCTGGCAGAGGCGACTGTCGGGTGTGAACGCGCCGCCGCCATCTGAACACGCAGTGTAGGTGGAGATCCGATTCCCGGCCAGGGAGGACCGGGTTGTTCCGTGCTGGCCCCGTGGGGGTCTTGCCTTCCCAGGCGTGGTGGGTCTGGGGTCTTGGTGGCCCACGCCCGAGTCCCATTTCCATCTCCCGCCATCCCCCTCTCCTCCTCCCTCCCCAGTGCCTCCTGGCTCCCTCTTCCTCCCTTGGCGCACACATGACCTTCATTTGACTTTGCAGGGTGGGGGCTCCCCTTGCTGACGCCCCCTGTCCGCCGGGGCTCCCCGCGGAGGCCCAGAGTAGCCGCAGCCGAGCGCTGCCTCTCGCCACTTTTCACTTGCGCCTGAGGCTGGGCTGGAGGCAGCTGGAGGCGGCACAGACCCTCAGGGGCCCCCTGGGGGGTGAGGGAGCCTCCAGGTGCAGAGGGCGGGGCTGGGGGCGGAGCCAGTGCAACCACCACTGCTGGCGTCGTGGAAGTCGTGAAGTGAGCCCGTGGAGGGGACGCACAGTTCAGATTGACTGTTGCACGTGAACAGAGCGGGGTTGGGCCTGGCCCGCCCCTGTACCGTCGGTGTGGGGCTTGGCCCAAGGTTTTCTTTTAATTTTTATTTTTTTTTAATGTGTGCCAATCTTTAAGAATTGGGACGTTTCCCATAAAACGAGAACGTCTGGCTTCTCTTAACAAGTGGAAAGATCTGGCAGCCCCCGGCGCACACCTCCTGACGGCTGCTGGGGGCGGGCTGTGGCAGAGCCGGGCCCTCGGGGTGACCATGACCACGCCACCCACCCATTCAATCGTCCCCAGGAGCTTCCGAGTGTCGAGTGTCGGGTGCTTAGCTCACATAAGGTGGCCTCCCCAGGGGCTGTGCGTCTGGGCTGAGCGGGCACAGTCCCCAGGCCCCAGCAGGCTGCCGGGCACCCAGTCCCAGTTCCGCCAAGCACCAGACTTCTGAGTGCGTGTCATGACCAGGGGCTGCGCCTCACCTCCTGCACCCCGCTGCTCTCCCTCTCGGGGCTGCTCGGGGCAGGCCCCGTGTTTCTAAGAGCAGACTCCGACCGTTGCTCGCTGTGTGACCCTGGGCGGGTTACCTGGCCTCTCTGAGCCCCTGCTTCCTCCTCTGTGCAGTGGGGGAGGGGGACCAGGGTCACCGTGTTGCTTCCTGTTGGTATTTACTCGGCTCTTTAGAAAGAGCGATGGCGGCACCACGGCGGCTGCCAGTTTACCGCTGTGTCCGACGGGGCCGGGGGGCTTCGCAGGGGCATTGGGAAGGAGCTGGGCACAAGCCTACCACTTGGTTCGCTTCAAGAAAGAAAAAAAAAAGGGACTTTGTCTCCCTGGAAACGCTCGCTGATCTCCGGGTCTGGCTGTTTTGCAGGCAAAGGAGGTGGAGGACACCGTCGAGTCGATGCTCCTGGGGCTGGAGGAGTTCTGCAGCCTGGCCGACATGGTGAGGTTTCCCCGCCGCGGCGTCGGGCCCAGGCCACCCTGAGCCCCTTGCTCGGGTTTCCTGGGAAGCCATCTTGGTGGTGATGTTGCAACCAGAAGGAATGGGGCAGCGGCCAGCGGCAGGAGGCCGGCCACACGCTCGGACCCTCCCTCTCCCTCTCCCTCCACCCCAAGTGCTTCCTGGGGCGGCCATCTTGGGGCCGTCTCTCCCCCAGAGGAGCCAGGAGCCGGCCACGAGGTGGCAGTCTCGGGCCCGGCGCGGGGAGCCTTGCCTGGGGAAGTGAGGGCTATATATAACTTGGCTGGTGCTGCCAGCCCGCACGCTGCAAACATGGAGACGGCCAGGAAGTGGCTCCAGGCCCCTGCCGCCTGGAGGAGCCAGGAGCCCAGGCCCTCGCTGGGCGTCGGTTCCCCTCCTGAGCCCCTCTGCTTTCTCCACCTCGCCTCCTGGCCCTGCGGGTTGGGTCCCATGGCCTAGGCTGGTGGAGGAAGCGGGTGGGAGACCACTCTGCAGGCCCCACGACGGCGTCTCCTCCCCCCCGCGTCCTCTCTGGAGCTGCTATGGGTCTCGTGTCCCCAGGGTTCTTGCCAGCCGGGTGGGGAGCCCCTGGTAGCAATGATGGAATGTTCTAGAAGTGCCCAAGCTTACGAAAGGCATGACAACCTGGGTGTAAGGCTTCTGCCTGGAGGCTGGAGGGTGGAGCACTGTGTCGTGACCAGGCCCTGCCTCTCCCCAGAGTGGACGCCTGTCCAGCTGGGCCCTGGGGTGTAGATTCGGGGCCCTGAGAATTGGTGTCCGGAGCCTGAGTGGCATTTGTGAGAGCCCAGGGGAGTAATGGGAGCAGACCCCGTTGTGCTAGGCGCAGATGAGGCAGCCCCTGGGCGCTGGGTGACCCCTGTGCCGCTGGTAGACCTGTGCGTGCCTGCCTGGGCTGGCCTCGGGGACGCACAGTGGACAGGGGACATTCCTGAGAGGCCTGTGTGTATTTTTCTCTTGGGAGCCTATGTTTGAGTTCGCAGGCAGGAAGGAGCGGGCCTGTCGGAGCTGGCCAGCCCTCTGTCATCACCGCACATCAGACCCCGAGCGAGGATACCCTGCCCCCTAGCCCCAGGCTGCTGGCAGAGATGGGTGTGGGGAGCAGTGGCTGTCAGGTTCACAGCTGGCTGGCAGAGGTGTTCAGTCCTGCCTGGGAGACTGGGGAGGCTTTGCAAAGCAGGTGGTGACGGATTTGGGGACTGAAGGGGGAGCAGAGAGAGTCGGGCAGATGCGGAACAGCGGAGGGACCAGCATGGCCCTGGGGCAGAGAGGCTGGGGGTTGGGCATGGCCGGCCTATGGAGAATGTTGGCCGAGGGCAGGTGGAGTGATCCAGGGACACCTTCATGCCCAAGTGTCAGCCCGTGCTTCCGTGGGCATCGTGTGGAAGGAGCCTCTCCATCGGCCAGGACCAGGACCGGGGCAGGAAGCCTCTGGGAGAAGCAGAGGGTCGGCTCCGCCCAGCCCTGGGGACCAGCAGGGCGTCAGCTCTGTGTGGCCCCGGGGCCCGCGGCTGCCTGGAAACCTGGTGATGGTTTCTGCAGAGAGACTCTGATTTGGGGTCACAAGCCGATGGCCCTGGGCCCAGTCCTGCCTATAGATCTATTGATATTTCTGGGGGAGATGGAGACTCGCAAGTCTCTCTGCTTCTGACCCCGCTGGAAGTGGGAGAATAGAGCCACGCCACGGGGTCCCGTGTCCAAGAGTCTGTGGGCAGCAGGCTTCCTCGGGAGGCTGCCCGGTGAGCCTGTGTCACTGGAATGCATCTCGTCCCGAGGGAGGCGTCCTTGGCCATCCGAGAAGTCACCTCAGCCCCCGATGGTGAGGCTCGGCCTGCCCGGTGGTCTGTGCCCGGGTGGCCCCAGCCTGGCACCTCCTGTTCTCTTTAATAGTTAAGCATTTTGTTTTGTTTTGTTTTCTGCAGAGGGAGGGAGACAAAGCAAGTGTCTCATCTGCTGGTTCACTCCCCAGATGCCGGCGACGGCTGGGGCTGAGCCTGGAACTCAGTCCAGGGCTCCCGTGTGCGTGCGTGCCAGGGGCGCCGCTGCCTCCCAGGGAGCTGGAGTTAGGAGCCCGAGCACATGGGAAACCCATGCGCTTCCACACGGGACACGCGTGTCTTGAGCACTAGGCCTGAAGCCCACCCCTCCCCTCCTCTTTAGGACGTGCAGGCGAGGGTGGCTGGGGCTGGTACGGAGTGGGTAGCGCCATCCCGCTGGCCGCTGTCGCCTGCTTCCTGCCGCGGCTGCAGAGGTGCCGTCAGCTCAGGCGCGAGGCTGGGGGGCGCCAGCCCCTTCCTGTTGACCCCTGTCCTGTTCTTCTGGCCCATGTACTTCTCCCCCAGCCCGTCCTGGCCCACACTCCGTCCCTGAAATCCATGGCTCACCCCGGCACCTGTTCTGCCCGTCTCCGTCATGCTGCCCCCCCCCCCCCGCCACCGCGGGGCCCTGCATGCACAGCGACACCTCCTGGAGCCTCTGTTGCCCCCGCTGTGGAGTGCAGACGGTGGTCCTGGTTGTGGGCTGCAGCAGAACTCTGCCATGGCTTAGAAGTGTGACAGCGCGACTTACTTTGTGGGCTAGAGCAGGGCGCGAGGGGCAGCCCGTCTGACCTATGGGCCAGCACCCTGGGTGGGGCTGTCCACTTACTGGTACCTGGGCATTGATCTGTGAGAGGTCAGAGCAGTCACACACACACACACACACACACCCATCACAGGAAGGGCGGAGCGAGTGCTGTGACACAGGTTAAGCTACAGGTCAAGCTACCCCTTGCGACGCCCGCATCCCACGTTGAGTGCCTGCGTTTGAACCCGGGCTCGATGCCTGCGAATGCCCGCCCTGGGAAGCAGGAGGTGATGGCTCAGGGACCCAGGTCTCTGCTACTGCATGGGAGATCTGATTTGAGTTTCTGGCTCCCAGCTTCAGCCTGGCCCAGCCCTGGCTGCTACGGACATTTGGGGGGGCGAACCAGCAGATAGAAGATTCCTCTCTGTCTCTTTGAAGCGCACACACACACACACACTCACACACTGATTAGCAACATTTTAAACAGCAGTGTTAATGGGACGTGGTGCCAATCAGATAGTGCTTAGCTCTGGGAGGATGGTCATGGCTGGAGGACGCCTGAGGCCTCCTGGGCCCATGGAGGGCCCGTGTGTTGGCGTGCGTGCCGTTAACGCAGACGTGAACGGATGTACAAATCATCAGGCCGTCGGCTTAAGACCTGGGCGCGTCCTTGCGTGAGATTTATGCTCTGCTGAAGGTGATGGCGGAGTGTGGTGCCTGCCGCGTAGGCAATGGCCGGCAGGTGGCGGCCCCTGCGTCGCTGGTGTTGAAGCGCCCGCGACGCTGGGCGTAGAAGCTGGGTTTACAGGCTCCGTGCACACCGGTCCTGGGACTGCGTGTCTGGTTCCTCTGAGACCCCAGTGGCCTCGGGCCTACCTCCCGGTCTGCAGGGAGCAGGCTCCTACCTCACTCACATAGATGGAGACAATTTCCTGTTGGCCTGTGCCCAGCAGTTGCATTTGGCATTGCTGTGTGTTCTTGGGTCGAGTGCATTTGGCTGTCCTTCCTGGGGCCTTTGAATCACTCTGGGCAGCCACCTTTGCTGCGTGGTGTGCGGTGACCTCAGCACCGGCCACACAGACTCCCGGGCTCCGAGACCAGCTCTGGGGAGGTGGGAGCAGAGGCTGGGGAAGGGGCCCCCAAGCCCCAGGTTATAAACCCGGGTGTGCATTCATGCTGGCAGAGGCTCAGAGAGTGCTGGGCGCCGGCTGACGTCCCCTGGCTCTGCTCAGGGCGCGGCCCCAGACCTGCCAGTGCAGGTCCTGTGACGTCACCACGCCGAGCGCCTTGGGTATGAGAAGGAAATGTCACCTTCAGCCTCTTCTGTGAGAAGAAAAGTGCTCTGGGTAGCCATGGACTCCAGGTGGGGAGGCCTTAGGGAGTGGTGGGGACTGTGGCTCAACAGGGCAGCTGTCCCCAACTGCAGCTGATTGCCACGTGGGACAAGGGCTCAGTGTGGCCAGGTCGTCTTGCCTTCCAGCAGAAGCCAGGAATGTGGGTTTCTAAGGGAAACAGCCGGAATGGAGGTCTCTGCGTCTCTGATGTTGCTGCACCCAGGAGAGTGCGTGTCCAGGCCTCTGGCGTTGGCGCGGGGTGGCCGCGGGCAGACCTGGAGCGGATCCCTGTCGCGACCTGACTCCGTTCTCTAAGCTGGCCTGCAAAGCGGCACTGAAGAGCAAGCGGTTCCGGGCTCCCAGAATCGGATCTGCTGGTTTCCTGCCCCTCTTGTGCCTGGGGCCCCCATTGAACTCAACTTTTCCCACCGTGGGGCCAAGGGGAAGCTCGGGGGTCTTTGCAGCCCACCTTCTGGGCAGGCGTGAACGTCATCAAGCCCCTGGAGGAGCGACTTCTGGCCCCGCCCACAGGCGCTGCCTGTCCTGATTCCTGGGGGCTCCAGGAAGGCGGGGCGGCCCTCCACCTTCCCCTCCACCTCCCCTCGCTGCTGGGGGTGGCTGAGACCAGCCCCTGGTCCTCCCTCCCTCCTCCTGCTCTTAGAAGCTCGGGGAGGGAGAGGGTTTGTGTCTGCTGCCCGGTGTCTGACCTTGCCACGGCTTGCGTTCTCTCTCTGCTCTTGGTGTTTGCTCCTGCAGCCTTGCCCACGGACGGGCTTCTCCGTGGAAACCCTGCCTGGGGAGGAGGGGAGGGTGCCGAGGACTTGCCCTACCGCTGCCGACGCGTGTGCTTGGGTCGTCTTCGCAGGCTCCAGGGTGCACCGGCGGGAAGCCGGACTCAAACCAGCCCTCAGATGCGGGCTGTGGGTGTCACAGGTGATGGCTTAGCCCGCGGCTACACGGCTGCTGACACTGAGAGACGCTGTCGATCCAGACCCAACCGTTTGCAATTCTAAGCCACGTTCTCGTGTTTGCTTCGGGGGACAGTGGCAAAGGTCATTCAGAGAGCTCCTGTTCACCCCCACCCTGATGTCCCATGGTGCCTTCCTCCAGTGGCTACACCTGCACACAGGGCCTGCCTGGGGGCGGCGGGCTAAGCTGCCAGCTGCAACACCAGCGTCCCACGTTGGAGTGCTGGTTCAAGTCCCTGCTGCTCCATTTCCAATGCAGGTGCCTGCTGATGCTCCTGCCGAAGCAGCAGAAGATGGCCCACGTGCTTGGCCCTGCCCTGGCCCAGCCCCCGCCATTGTGGCCATTTGGGGAGTGAACCAAAGCATGGAAGATGTCCCTCCCTCCCTCCCCCTCCCTCCCTGCCCCCTCTCTGCGTCTCTCCCTGTCACTCTGAATTTCAAATTAAAAAATCTTTAAATAGAAGCCCAGCCTGGGACATGGCTGCCCACTCCACTCTGCCCTGCTGGCCCGAGGTCCGGCCCAGGATGTCGCGTGGCAGAGCGGTCTCTCCTTGCTTTTTGGACCCTCCTGGCTTTCCCTGGCCTTGGGAGCCTGATCAGGTGTTTGCAGAAGGCCCGGGACTTGGCTGTATCTGCTGTCTTCCCGTGGTTAGACCGGAGGTGGGCGCCGTCTCCCATCCCACCCGGGCACCCGGCGCGGTGCTGTTTGCCCTTCCAGTCCTCTGCTTGCTCACTCTGCTTCCAGGTGGCCGCAGTGCCTGCCGGGCCATCCGGGCTGTGTGGGTGGCAGCAACTCTGCCTTTGGGAAGGACCGGGCAGGTCTGTCCAGAGCCGTCACGGTGCTTTCCTCGTGGCTGAATCCTCGCCCTGGAACCGGGGGTACGGCGGCTGGCGGACTCACCTAGTGCTTGGGGTTCACCGTCCAGTCCTGACTCCGCTTCTGGCATTGTCCTAGCTCAGCCCCGCCCCCTCGGCCAGCGCAGCCCCGCCCCTCGGCCAGGCTGGTGCTCCTGTTTTTTCACGCGCCCACATCTTATTAAATATATATTAGCATAT